GAAGACCAAGCCCTAATTTTATTGTGTTCACTACCTGGTTCATATGAGAATTTTGTAGATACTATGCTATATGGTAGAACTACAATTTCTGTTAATGATGTGAAAGATGCCCTTATGTCCAAAGAATTGAAAAGAAAGGTTTCTCTGGAAGAGGGTTCTGGTTCAGGTCTGTTTGCAGGTAGGGGAAGACCACATGAGAGGGGTAACGGGAATGGGAGGTCGCGTTCAAAATCAAAATCCTCTAGCAAAGTTAAGTGTTATCTTTGCAAGGAGAAAGGGCACGTTAAAAGGGATTGTCCACAAAAGAAGGGAAATACAAAAGTTGATTCTAGTAACAGTGGCAGCAGTGCTGCTGTGGTACAAGACAGTTCTGATGATGGGGACTTTGGTGAAGTTCTGACAGCGTGTAGTGCTAGTACTGCTGATTCTTGGATTATGGATACCGGTGCTTCTCACCATATGACGTTCTCTCGTGATCTACTCACTTCTTTTAAGGAGTGGAATGGAACGGTGAAGTTAGGTGATGATGGGGTTCTAGCCATAAAAGGGAGCGGGGTAGTGCAGATAAAATTGCATGACGGTACTGTCAGGAAATTTGACTGTTGGTATGTTCCTGAACTCAGAAAGAATTTGATTTCTCTTGGGACCTTAGCCAAGAATGGTTTAAAATATCATGGTGAAGGTGAGTGGGTGAAAGTCCTGAAAGGTGCGCTGGTAATGATGAAGGGAAAACTGCAGCATGGAATTTATTTTCTACAGGGCAGTTCAGTGATGGGAACGGCGGCGGTATCTCAGTCCTTGGATAAACACGATGATAGGACAAATTTGTGGCACCGGCGATTAGGTCACATGAGTGAGCTAGGGTTGTCTGTGTTGAGCAAGCAGGGTTTATTTGGTGGGGATGTGATAGGTAAAATTCAATTCTGTGAGGCTTGTGTAAAAGGGAAGCAACGCAGGGTGAGGTTTAGTACCGGTCATCACACTTCAAAAGAAATTCTGGAGTATGTTCATTCAAATCTATGGGGTCCCTCTCCGGTGAAATCGCAGGGCGGGTGTTCTTACTTTGTCACTTTCATAGATGATTATTCGAGAAAGGTCTGGTTGTACTTTCTGAAGACTAAAGATGAGGTGTTTGGGAAGTTCAAGGAGTGGAAGACCATGGTTGAAAAACGGACGGGTAAACAGGTCAAGACTCTAAGAACTGATAATGGGTTGGAGTTCTGCAACGCTCCATTTGATGATTTCTGCAAGAAAGAAGGTATAGTGAGGCACCGCACTGTACGACACACACCACAGCAAAATGGAGTTGCAGAGCGAATGAACCAAACCCTCATGGCGCGTGCTAGGTGTATGCGCATATTTGCTGGCTTGTCTAAGCAATTATGGGCTGAAGCAGTAAACACTGCTAGCTATCTGGTTAATAGATCTCCATCAACTGCAATTGACTTAAAGACTCCTCAAGAGGTATGGTCCGGTAAACCCTCTGATTACTCTAATCTAAGAATATTTGGATGCCCTGCATACGCTCATGTGAATGATGGTAAGCTGGAGCCGAGGGCGGTAAAATGCATATTTCTAGGGTATGCAACAGGAGTAAAAGGTTATCGACTGTGGTGTACAGAAGGTAAAAATCCTGGTAAATTTCTTATTAGCAGAGATGTAACCTTTGATGAATCTGCTATGCTTGATCAGAGTAGAGATTGTGAAAGTATTGTAGGTACAAAAGATTGTGGTGCTAACCAGAGAGTGGAGTTTGAGACTCCTGACAGAGTTGTGTTAGAGGAAAAGCAGCAGGATAATACTATTGATCAATCCGATCAACCAGATCAGTCAAAACCTCAAGGGAAACCGGTTGAGGGGGAAGCTGATGACGCTGGTACGGGGGTTGAAGATTCCATAGCAGCAAGAAAGGGAAAGAGAAATATTCAGAAACCAGCTAGGTTTGCAGGATGTGTCAATACGTGTGACATGGATTCTGTTGCTTATGCACTAGCGGTTGGTGATGATCTTGGCTCTGATGAGCCAAAGACATATAAAGAAGCTGTGGCGAGTAAAGATGCAGAAACCTGGATTATGGCAATGAATGAAGAGATGCAGTCTCTTGAAAAGAACAAGACTTGGGATCTTGTTGCACTACCAAAAGGGGTGAAGCCAGTGGGATGCAAGTGGGTCTTTAAAAGAAAGGAGGGAATTCCTGGTGTTGAACCTGCTAGGTTCAAGGCGAGACTGGTGGCAAAAGGGTTTTCACAGAAGGAAGGAATCGATTACCATGAAGTCTTTTCTCCTGTGGTGAAACACAAAACCATTCGGGTTCTTTTGGCAATGGTGGGTGCTTTTGATCTGGAGCTGGAGCAGCTTGATGTAAAAACAGCATTCCTTCATGGTAATCTAGAAGAACAAATTTACATGTCTCAACCGGAGGGGTTCTACAGTTCTAAAGGGGACCAGGTATGCTTGTTAAAGAAATCTCTGTATGGCTTGAAGCAATCTCCGAGGCAATGGTACAAGAGATTTGACTCATTCATGGTGTCTAATGGTTATACTCGTAATCAGTTTGATAACTGTGTTTACTCGAAGAAAGTTTCTACTGATTCCTTTGTGTATCTGCTGTTGTATGTGGATGATATGTTAATTGCAGCTAAGAACATGGCTGTAATTAATGACTTGAAGGCTCTACTAAAGGGTGAGTTTGAGATGAAGGATTTGGGTGCGGCAAAGAAAATACTTGGTATGGAGATCTGGCGTGATAGAGAAGCAAGACGGTTGTGGGTTTCTCAAGAAAAGTATATTGAGAAAGTTTTGCAGGCATTCTCTGTTGATCAGTCCAAACCGGTAAGTACCCCTTTGGCGGCACACTTTAAACTTGATCGAAGCACTATACCGGCTACAGATGAAGAGGTTAGTTACATGAAGACGGTTCCATATTCAAGTGCAGTTGGAAGTCTTATGTATGCGATGGTATGTACGAGACCGGATCTCGCTTATGCGGTTAGTGTGGTGAGCAGGTTTATGGCTAATCCGGGTAAAGCTCACTGGGGAGCTGTAAAGTGGATCTTGCGATATTTGAAAGGAGCGTCTGATATTTGTCTGGTATATGATGATAAAGGCCATGGTGATGGTCTTGTTGGCTATGCAGACTCTGATTACGGGGGTGACTTGGTGAAACGAAGATCACTAACTTGTTTTATCTTCACTCTGTTTGGATGTGCAGTCAGTTGGAAGTCTACTTTACAACCTACGGTTGCATTGTCGACGACTGAGGCGGAATACATGTCAATGACTGAAGGTATTAAGGAGGGTATCTGGTTACATGGTCTGGTGCAGAGTTTGGGTCTGAAGGTGGAGAAACCGGTGTTATTCTGTGATAGTCAAAGTGCTTTGAGTTTGGCTAAAAATCCAGTGTATCATGAGAGAACCAAACATATTGAAGTAAGGTTGAATTTTATCCGTGATGTTCTGGAGGAAGACAAGTTTTCTATTCAGAAAATAGCTACAGAACACAATCCAGCTGATATGTTGACAAAGGCGCTACCGACGGAGAAGTTTGAGCATTGCTTGAACTTGGTGAATATTCGTAGGAGGTAAAGCCTTCTCGGGGCATCTGGCAGGAAGGAGACGACTGAGAGATACTGACGAACCTTTGGCGGTTGGAGAAACTCCAAGTCAAGGTGGAGATTGTTGAAACGTGACTTGGATTTAGCGGTCTACCCGACCCTAAACCAAAGCGAAAGGACTGTTTCAATTGGCAGGGTTCCTTTTGGGCTTATCCTAATTAATAACAAATGGACTTAGGGTTTAGGGTGTTTTGGGGTGCTTATAAATAGACAACTATGGTTCTTAGTCGGATGACATATTGTAAATTTCTGAATCAGTATAATAAAATCTCTCCGGTTCCTGCCCGTGGACGTAGGTTGACACACCGTCACCGAACCACGTAAAACCTCTGTGTTCTTTATTTGCTTTCTTTCTCGTTTTCTCATAACAATTCTCGTTATTCATTTACCATAATATGCTTCTCTTGTTACTACATGTGATTAGCGTGACTTGTCTTGTAGAACCTAATTTGACTATGTAAAAAAAAATTAAAAATTATATCTTGATCAAATATGCGAATAAATATCATTTTTTAAAAAACAAGATGTATAATATAAATAAAAATTATTCTATATATTTATTTGTAATTAACATAAATTAATATTATAAAAATAAAAAAAATTGAGTTTAAATAAAAGTACTCCCTCCGTCCCATTTCTTTTTTTTAGTAACTATACTATCTACCTAACATTACAAATACCCTTACAACTTACAATATATTACACGCTATTACCTTTATATCATACATACTAATAAAGTTATTTTAATCATTTCTAAAATTACGTGCAAAAAGCAAATACATACTTAGTTTCGAGACAGATGGAGCATTTCTTGATTGAAGAGGTATAAAAATAATTATTGTTTTTGAAAGAATTAATAAATTTTGTTAAATATAAAAGATATATCATTTATTTTGAGACAGTATATAATTATTTAAATAAATTAGTTTGTTTTATGTTTATGTATATATATTATTGAATTTATATAGAAAATCAAAGTACACAGAGAATTAGTATAAGACAGCTGTAATATATAATTCACAGAAATATCCATATATTAAATTTTAAGAAAATAGTAAATAATTCATATGTAAGGAAACCAATATAAATTTATAAGTGAAGTGGTCAGTTCCAATTTCCAAATCCAATTTATCAGTAGCAAAAAGCCAAGTCTTTATGGCTCACTTCTTTTATCAATAAAATGTTTTTTTTTTTCACTATTACTGTGCCAATTCTCAATCCCAAGAAAAACTCAAAAAAAAAATACCCTAAGAGAAACATCCTAAAAAAGCTCTATGAATTCAATTCCAAATTACCAGTGGCAAAAAGTGAAGCAAATCTCAGAAGTAACATGAAAACTGATTCTTGTAAAAGACACAAAAACAAACTCACACTTGATGAATTCCAGTCACACAAAATCAAGACACATCCTTTTCAGACAGCTTCCTTCACTGTACTAACTAAACACCACAAACCAAGGGTGGGTAGGGGTTAGGGTAAGGGAGCCCACTGCCCTGCAGGTGAGGGATGAGATATAATACAATGTAGCCACCAATTAATGCATCAAAAGCTGAAAAAGAAAAACCACAAGTCATAACATAACATGGGATCTCCCCCAAACCCCCCACACCCTCACCACCCCCCAGGCAGAATTTATATTTCTAGCAACACAAACACAACACATGGATGGACAAGAAAATCAACAATCCCTTCCACAAAAAGAACACAGCACATAGCAACAAAACACACACGGGAGCCCCGCCAAACACAGATGCACAGCCCATCGGAAAGACAACATATACGACTCTATAATCAGATGCATACATATATATATATGTATGTATGTATATGAAACATGAATAGAAGAACATAAAAGTGCAATTTAATGAACACTTACCTCCTGTTGTGATAATTTATTCACTCCCAGAACTGGAGAACTTTCAACTGATTAATCTGCAAATAGTGCGTTAAAAATGCATCCATAGAGCAGTGAGAATACTAAATGCAATAGAAATATACGAAAGAAAGCTACGGCAATGCAATCAAATTAGAAAAAATCTATGAAAATATACATTTTTTCTTTTGCAAAAGGAACGTCTGTCTGTTTGTCTGTCAACTCCAATGGAGTCTTTTACTTGACTCAAGGGATGACCATTATATACATCTGAAAAATCAGATGTACATGGGGAACAGAAGCTGGGGACTACCCCTCTAGAATATGGTCAGATGTACACGGGTTTGACATCATTAGCACCGAAACTTGCAGAGCATACTGGGCACTTGCGATGGCGTGCTTCGACTATTCTTTGTATGCAAGGATTGCAAAAGAGATGGAAGCATTTTGTGATAACCACCTACAAAAAGCATGTATTAGATCTCTAATTATTGCAGTATTGATGTTGCTCTGAACACCTAGTAAGATATGAAATGATTCAAACACCCTTTCTCATTACAAAGATACTAGAACGATACGACAATCATATGCAACTTCAATTGACAGAAAATGTCGTGACACGATTACTATAATGGGAAATACCAAGTTTACCCTGCCCCCATTGTCCAAAACATAATACTCCCTCCGTCCCACATATCATGTCCACGTTGCCGTTTCTGTCCGTCCCACATACCATGTCACTTTCCTTTTTTGGAAAATGATTACACACTTTAATCTCATTTTAAACTTTTTAATTTTTTTTTTAAATTTTAATTAAACTAATTAGTTATCTTAATCTTAATTTATAATTATTTATATTATCGGATAATTATTTTCACTAATACATTCTTAATTATCTACTAATTATACCCCTCCTAAAATACCGTATCTACAATATAGCAGACACGGTATGTGGGACGGAGGTAGTAAAAGAAAGAGAAGAAAAAATGGCATTGTTGATCATAATGCAAAATCCCTATAAAATGAGCATGCAGCAGTCTAATTCACGTTCCGAAACAATCTGAAAAACAGAGTACCTCTTTCCTCCGCTCATGGCAGACAGTGCACTTCAGAATTTCTTTATATTCTTGGAGCTCCTGACGGAGCTTTACAGTTGCAGAGGAACTATCAGCCTGCAATTTTAGCTGTTCGGCCTTCCTTTTAAGGGTATCCAGTTTTTCCTCTACTCTTTTCCGCCCAAACCTAATCAGTAGAAACATTGGATACATAAAGCCTTTAGATATGAAAATGGGTATGATGACTATGTTACTTGTAAATACCTCTCTTTCTCTGATTCTATCTGCAGCTCAGTAAGATGTGCCCGAGCCTTTTCAACCTGGGATTGGCCTTCATCAAGTGTGCCAGTCGTTTGTTGAGATAATTTTTTCACATCCAGCAATTTTCTTTTGGCATTTTCTGCCGCAGAAGCATTGCGGGTTCTATCATCAGTAAGCCGCTTCATGTGGTCCGAATGTGCTTGCAGCTGCAGTAGAAACAACATTAGTGCGACAAATGGAAGAGTTAACACCATTCATGAAACTCTTGTGTTACCTGATCTTCAATTCTACGTGCTTTGGTTTCACCAAAATCAACGGTTTTCTTGGACTGCAATACAGCTTTCTCCAACATCCGTTTCTCCATAAGGAGAGCATCTCCGACATGTCTTGAGCGCACGCCCTCTAAAAGAAGCTGTGATGGTAAACAAAAGCACCAGTAAATATTTCATCAATAATCCAAAAAGCAGTATGGTGTTCAGTGTTTCTACAATGGACAATCGATAATATAACCAACAAATCCAAGTGATTATGCACAATAAGTAAGATAGAGAAAAAGATGAAAAGCATTTGCCGTGTGGTGCTTCCTTGTGCATGTTCATCAGCTTAAATAGTTTAATTCAAGCTAAAAATTATTTTTCACTCACTTCTCCCATTAAACTAACAAGACACAATTTTCAACTTTATTAGCATGTACTACAAAATCTCCAACAACCCCAAAAGGCATCCAGTTTGAAGGCACAGTATAAATGAGCATCAATGAAAATTTTAAATTGATAATGTTTGGAAAAGTCGACAAAAAGTGAAGAGAAAGATGTGGTATTGCCAATTCTCTACACTAAAGAATGCAGTATTTGTCGGAAAAGATATCTATTTCTCAAAAGGAACACTATTTAAAGGGAGCTATAATTCTGAGGCAGAAAATATAGCATTCTTTTTGCATAGTGTTTTTTTCTAATCGTTTTAATATAAAATGATCAGAAGCGCATTCTGGAAAGAGTCAAACTACAGTACCAAGTCAGGTATGATAAGAGGCATACTAGAACCTTAATCCACCACTAATTTTGATCTCGCTTGAATGTGACAGAGGACACGAGCTATCAAACAGCAAATCCTTAACAGATGATACAGCTACAAGAATGAAGATTGCTACTGTAATCCATAATTCTAAAATGGTATCCACTCAACCAGATGGTATCAGAAAAAGGTTATCAGACTTCAAGAAGCACGATCAAAAGAAGTCAAGCCTATATACATATATATATATATATATATAAACAAAGAAGAAGAAGAAGAAGAAAGATAATGATCGACCTATAAAGGAGCAAAGAAACAAAGAAGCTAGAGTATACCAAATACAAAAAATTGCCTTAAAGAATGACATTTATGCCTTCACAACAGTTTAGTTGTTACAAATATTTAGGCGACTGATTGGAAATATATTAGGACATCCATCCCAGCTAGGATACAGCCATGTATAATATATTCAGACATAATGCAAGTTTTGCAGCATACTCAACACAATTTTCCTACACAATGAATATCAAGCATTAAATCAAGGGAATTAACCAAGTCAAGAAAAACAATGAGATCATCATGGGAATTTAACTTCTGAAAGTGATTAATGATGAAAAAAATGATATGTTATGAGCACACATTTTGGCTTATGTGGAAATGGAAAATATCTTCTAAAAACGTTCATCAAGAGGTTGCCCATTTCATAGTAAAACACACTTTGAGTGAAACAGAAGTACGGTACTTATATTCGGTATCTTTTGGAATTGAATTAAGTGGAAAAATGTGAACTTGGTTGTTTCAGGAAATGAATCAAAATAACTATAACCTTAACATTGTAGTCATCTCTCTCTGTGATTTGCTGTAATAGCTGTTGGTTTTGTGTCTGCATGTCATCGTATGCCTGCCCAATAGTCTGCAAAAAACAATGGCCAATTGCATGGTCTAGTTTAAGATGCATTTTAGAGGAGTTGTTTCTAAGAAACATGTTAGAATGCCGACCTCTATTTCTGACAAATAGGCTTCAGTTTCTTCATGCTTGGATTTAAGGACATCAGAAAGTCCTGCTTTTTCCCTGCAATATCATTGGACATGCCATCAAGTCACTAAGAAAATAACGTTTTAGACAGAAAAGTGCTCATGTTGCACCAGATACAATTCAGCAAATCAAATATCAACAAATCTTCATATCATTACTCAAAAGTATGTATGTTACTGTGGTTAGGGCATCTCCCTCATTGATGGCCATTATCTGTTATTTATGCTTTCTATTTAATGAAGTCTTCAAATGTTAAAAACATTTACGGGTGAAATACAGGGACAATCTTATAGAGAAAATCATATGATGATTTTATAAGTGATCCATACGAATACTGCTTAATATTTATGTGTTTCCTTTCTATTATTAGGTTTAGCAGATATGTTAGATTTAAGCTTGCTCATCTCAAGCCCCCTGCCAATCCATAACTACTTTAAAATTCTGAGAATCTCCTAACAATGATGCAGAGACATTAGTCATGAAAGTGAAAATCAAACCATGACAGCTCAAATTGTGAAGGATTTCATTATCTTTTTTAAAGATTGCCAACCAGATGTTGAACTTGAAAGCATGAGGAAAGATACCTTTTAGAAGCCTCTAACTTCTGTCTCAGCTCAGCAATCTCAGCTTCTGAAGCAGCTAATTTTTGCTGGGCTTTTGCTTCAGATTCGATTGCAACTTTAACCCTCAACTCCAAATTGTGCTCATCCAGGGAAGATTTAAGTCCCTGAACATGAGCCCAAGCAGCAATCTCAGAACTTCTAGCTTCTTCAACTTCCCTGCATTATGCAATGATGAAGGAATGTAGTAGCAGAAAAAATGTAATCATCAGCAGCCTCAAAGTCAAACCAAGTATTAAGAACCACCACAATATTATTGCAAAGAAAACCAAAGTCCAACAAAGGTATCATTTACAAAAGTGAAAAGCCCTACCTTGAATCTGTTGACTGCTGTTCATACATTCCCAGAAAAAGCTTCAAGTCCTTGTCAGTTACCTTTAAATCACTAATCTGTGCCAAGAAAACAAAGATCTTTAAAGCTCAGAATCCTATCTTTCCAATTTCCTAAAAGAATGAACCACACAGATTATTTGCTTAGTTTCCTTCATGTTACAAAACAGAACCATACTATGAATGGCCTTGCACCTATTCCTAATATGAATCCAACATAACATTGAAATTACTACGCAAATAAGTGTGCTTTTAATCAGGAGAACAGCCATAAAATATATGTTGCAAGAGGAATCTCGTATCCTAATACTTCTATGAATTAATGAGTTGTGCATACCACATCCTGAAGTCTTTTAATTTCAGCATTCTGCTGTGCTGATCTGGACGTCAAAGTCTCTAATTCCTTAGCCTGCATGCACATTTACACTCAAATACATGCGAATTAAATGGAATATGATAATCAGTAGCGGACCTAAAACATTAAAGCAAAATGTTTTTGAGTGTCACATATCTAACCTTGTGATTTAGGATATTAGTCAGTGAAGCAACATCAGCCCGTAAACAATGTATGTCTGCAGCAGACTCTTTGTGTTTAGCTAACTGTGTTTGCATGCTCCCCATTTTCTCTGGGAATGATGATACCAAGTCTCTAAACTTCAACATGATTTCTTTCCCGCCTGTGATTAAAATTCACAATAGCTGCACTAGAATTACAGAGGGAAGCGTAGGGAAAGATCAATTCACAAAAAAAGGTTGACCCCTAATACCGGGTTCTTTAGAAGCTTCATCCAACTTGGTCTCAATAAGATGTTTTTCTTTAATGCATCTCTGTATTTCTGCTTCCAAATCACTTATTCTGGAATTAGAAACTGCTGAAGATCGACGAAGAACATCAACTAATTCACTTTTCATTTGTACTTCTTTTTCCCGACAGTGAAGAACTTCTTTATCAACCTGAGTAAAAGTAAGCAGATAAGCGTAACTGATATGGAAAAACAAAAGTGATGGCTAATAAACCAGTAACTAGTTACAACCTGCAATTGCTCACAGAGAGCTTGAAACTGAACTACATCTGTTTTAGCTTTTTCTAGCTGATCTTTTATCAATCGATATGCTTGGGATGAGCTAATACACTTAACATTCTTTAGTTTGCTCTGTCAAACACAATGTCACAGGTTAATGAGAAACATGATAGGGAATGCAAATTATGAAAGGTGAAATACTAATAGGATAGAAAGAAGCCAAAAACACAAATCAACCTGCAACTTTGACAAGTGTCTTAATACATCCAACCTGTCTTCATGTAGCTGCTGGAGTTCATGCAGCCGTACTGTAGAGTGGTCCTGCATGGAAAAATGATTTCATCAGGCCATTTAGCTCATTGTAAATCAACAAACAAACAAATACAAAGTACAACATGCAATTACCAACAGCTCCTTCAGCGTAGACTCCATGTTTTGCAAATCACCCTGCTTATCTCGCGTTCTATCATTGGCCACCAGTTTATTTCCTCGATTCAGAAGAGACCCCTTGGCTATATCTCTCTCTGCTCTTAGAATAGCCAAGTTTCGGTTGGTTTCTTCCAATTCAAAGATTGTACTTTCTAGTTCTCCTTTCAATGGACCAAAACAGAAAGCCATTAAAACTACAATACAGACGAATCACAAAATGTGGGGAAAAAATAGCAAACTAGCACAACACAATCAATAATTGAAGGGATTGCATGGATCAGACAGTCACAGCTCGGATAAAACTACAAAAAGGTGATATACATAAAGCAAAAAAAAAAAAAACACTGACGAAGCAAATTAGGGTTAGTATCAGTCAGAGACTCCATGCCTAAAACACAAAGACAAGGAGCCTCTTTACCAAGAGACCAGTTAAAGAAAAACACAAAAAAGGTACAATTCAGGAAAGGAATTTAAACCAGATATTCTTTTACAGAAAAGATTACTAATCTTATAAATTAAAAAATAAAAAGTTCTTTTCCGAACACATCTTTCACCATCAGTTGAATAGTAACTTGACCCAGATTTATCCCACTGATCCTAGTCTACATATTTTGAAATCCATGTCCAAGGTTGTCACGGCGAGGTTCCGAGCACGGAAACCGCCATATTGCCTAGGCAACATAGCGTTCTCCATGGCAACAATTTGCCGATATGGAAACTTACTTATTAGTAAAGATGCTCCAACATCTGATACGAGTGGAGCAACTCATAAATACACAAATTCATTCATAAAGCTTACCTACAGGAGCAGAAGACGGCGAACGATAACAGCAAGTGGTGGGTGACAGACAACTATAAATGGGTAGAGAGAAGAGGGAGAAAGAACATAGCAGGCAAGGGCTAGGGTTTGCATTAATAGGATTCGAACTTGGAAATTAATAAAATGGATCGGGTCAAACCCGCCCAAACTTGCCATTTGGCATTGCCTTGGCATCCCAGCGTCGCCAAAGCAGCACAAGGTTAGGTCTGGCATTAATAGGATTTAAACTGGGAAAATAATGAAATGGGTCGGGTCAAACCCACCCAAACTTGCCATTTGGCATTGCCTTGGCATCCCAGCGTCGCCAAAGCAGCATCTGGCCTCGCCAAAAAGGGAGGTGACAGATCTTGGTGGTGAGTGCACCGCCAGGACACCAAGGCATCGCCTAGGTAACGCCGTGACAATCTTAGGTAAAGCAGAATTGTGTGTTTACTTTGAACAAACGATCATTAGGATATTCAATGCACTTAAGACGTGCTCCTAAAACCTATTACATAATCATCAGTATAAGAGAGGTCATATAAGTAGCATATAACCCCTTTGTCATTTTGATGAACCAAAAACCTGCGATATTAACTGGACTCTGTGCATGCATCAGTAGAAAGAGTATAAGCTCACTTAATTCAAGAAGCACGATTTATACATTGAACATGTGGTAGAAGCCATATAAACATAATTACCATTAATGCTCAGTTTAGCTAGATGGCAAGAAAATTGACCAAGTTACAAAATAAGCCAATTCACAAGCCCAAATCATTCTCTGAATTTCCTTAGCAGTTTAAGCTAAAACTCAAGTGCAGATAGAAAACATGCAAAAGTCACCACTCTAAAAGCTAAGTGCATAACCATTTGGATAGTAAGCGACCATATCCCTAAAGAAACTCATAAAATATATAGATTTGATTGATCAAAGGTGTTGAACAAATAAGCATCTTTATATATATATATATATATATGTATGTATGTATGTATGAATAAAATATGCTGCCAAGCACAAACTTAAATCAACACAAAGTAGTATTGTAACAACCAAAACCTGAAACAATGATACCATTTGATACATAAAAGCATAAATGGTATACACCCAGTGATTGCCACTGCCAAGTTGGAAATTTTTTTAATGATAATGGAAAATGAATTCAAAAAGCTTTCAGAAGCATGCTTTTGCAAGTGATCCAGTGTCATGAATTCCATTTTATGGTAGTAATATGAAGCAATGCTGTTGGCGAAACCAAAATAAAATACCTTCCAAACGCTTCAAAGCAGCTTTATTTTTTGCATCAGTATCTCTTTGGCTCTGAAGTTCACCAGCCAATGATCTATGCTTCAGGTGAAGATTGATGGCTGCTACCCTCAGACTCTTAACTTCGGATTGTAGACCAGAAGAAACCACCGTCTGGCTCTGTTCTACGGTGAGTTAGGAGATTCAAAAGAGGTAAGTGATAACTCAATCATTAACAGAAAATATCCACTTGAGAAAATAAAGCTCAGTAATTTGTTCTTCCCATGGTCTTACCATTAGATGAGGCTGCCTTCTTATAAGCAGTGTACAGTCTATTCTTTAACTCGTTGAGATCATCAAGAGCAACCACTATATTCCGGAATATCTTCTCTGGTTTCTCTGTCTTTCCAACCTCTACATTTTCATCTTCATTTACATCTACAGATGTGCTTGCGCTTTCAGTTACATCAGAGTCTAAGACTCTGCTTAACAATGATTCTTCAGGAGATGAATCACCATCTAACAAGGTTATTTTGATAGCTCTGTTAGGAAATGAATTTTCCTTTTTGGAAGTACCAAAAGAAAAAGTGCAGTACATACACCCACATATCTTATCCAGAATGGCAAATGCATATGTGACGGTAGAACTACATATTTGTTACAAGCTCAATCAAAGCAGTTGTAACAATTGATTGGCCAAACAGCTAACTAGTTACAACTGTTAAGTTACAGTAGTGTGAAGTGGGGTATGCGAGGGTACGAAGCTTGGGTACAAAGGGATGCTAGATCTACCATTTTATATTAGGATACAAAATCTATACAGATTCTCAAATGCATTCATTGATGAAGGTGCTAGATGAAAAAATTTAAGAACCATTTACAGTCCAATCATTGAGCAAACAAACACACTTCTCCTAAAACAGACACACACACATATGCTGTAACTGCTGTTGATATAAAGAGAAATCAAAATTGCAAGTAGCATCCAATAAAAATTAAAAAATGCAAGAGAACTTCTCCTAACACATGCCATATGAAAATAACAGGTCAATATCTTCAAAAGTGTGCTGACATGCACTTGGGTAATTGATCAAAATATAATACCATTTCACAAGAATTAATACTTAACGAACAAAGCACAACTACAAGACCCTGGATGAACAGAAAATGAGGGGAATCACTTACCATCTTTGACTAGCTTGCCTCCAAACCCTTGCCCATGCTTCCCAGAGTCTAGTATGGTATTAGAGCATGATTCTAATTCATCAACCAGCTGGTACAACATTGAAATCAGTATCACGTTGAGCGGATAGACATTTCTACATGTGCAGAGTGCATCTACTTGCAAAATAAATGACATTCTAGTACTAACTTTGAATTCATTTTCCCAAGAATAAAAATTTATGATTTTCATCATTAACACCCTACCAGTTATTTTGATGCCCTCAAGAACGGGGAAAGACCTTTCTCCCAGAAATTTCTATTTATTTACAAGCATCTAAAGCTACAACCAAATCCATTTGAACACATGGCCTCACATATCACAAATAAAACAGTAGCCTTAGTGTGATCACTTCTGCCAATCAGAAATTAGTTATGCACACAATCCACTACTTCAAGTCATACTTCAATTACATTTTTAGATCACAAAACTTCAATCATTTCAAATCATCATCTTGACAACAGCCCTTTAGGCATATCAATTTGCATGGTTTTGTATATAACAATGAGGATACGTTATTGGACAAGCCAGTGGAGCTTCATTCACTAATAGTCTAATATAGGTTGCTGTTTCCACCCTTTCGATATTCAACATGTTTATACTGGAGTTAATAGAAAGGGCATTAAGGGGCAATTTCAATATGAGCTACCAATCTTCACAAGTAAATGAATTCCATTTACTAATGCTAGAAAACAGCTAACACTGATGAATAAACAAAGCAATAATAAAGCGAGGTAACAGAAACAAAGTAATGTACCTCTTCCCAAGAATTATTAACAATGGTTGCGATTTTGTCATGTGATTGTTGTTCATCTTTCAATTGACACAATCTGCCCTCAAGTCCACATATCTCAACCTTTTGAGTTTCCAACTTTTGTATGAGTTTCTGATTTTGAAATTGAAGCACCGTTGCATCGAGCTACAGAAATTGAAACTCTGACATATTAGATCTTTGGACACAAATCTCACAAAAATCCACAAATGAAACTACACCTTGTCTGATCAGTACTTTATTCGACAGAAAAGGGGGCAATCTACTTGCAGAAGCATCACAATTAAATTTGTTTGGTTGTGTTTTCGTACACTTATATTCACTATGCATCTGCACAACCATTTTTTTCCCAAAACACCATATATCACACATATTTTTCATTTAATATGTTATCAAAAAACAATAAGTTTATATTCAAAACATCACATCAAATAACTATATATATCATATCAAACAATTCTTTAAATTCAACTATTCTCAAAACACCAAAACACAACCAAGCAAACTCAAGAAAGTTTACTAGTTCCAATCACATTTGTTAACTCATTAAATAACATGCATCAATTCAAATGTGCAAGAATATACTATCTCGCTTCGACATCACTTGTCACAACTGTATTATAACTTTCAAGATAAATTACACTCCCAAAATCAACCATTTTTGTGTGTGTTCATTACTGTGATGTAGTGTTGGGTCAAAAAAACCACACACATGAAAGATTGTTCGAAATATGGAGAAAAGACTTCGATGAGGCAACACAAACGGAACATAACTTAAGCCAGAAGCCACAACAAAGCATCTTTCTAACATAAGTCAGCTTAAAACTTCGTTGCAAATTAGAAATAGGTAGAGAATTAAATTGTAAAACTAAATGCTCGACGTCTAAGGAATATAACCCACATAAATATATCAGTGAAACACAGACACCTCTTACCAAGCACAAGAAATCGCAAATTTGAAATTAAAACTTAAAAGATAAACACAAATCATAATTGCATAAATCACTTATCCTCATATCTTAAAAGCTTCAGATCCCGGAAAAATGGTAACTCAATTTGCAGCCTAGACAAACTGCATACAAGGTAAAGCCATGGAACCACAGCTAAAATGGAAACGAATAATTACAGGATTATCTATTACCACAGCCCAATTTCTAAAACCCTAAGTGCAGAAAAATGAACCAAAAAAAAAATAAAAAACAGATTAAGCAGAATTCTTCTACCTTTTTCCCCTCAGAAAGGGGAGTAAGAGGCTGTTTCTTGGCAGTAGGCGATACGGAACTCAAGTGACGTCGTTTCTTGTCAGCTTCACCTGTGCTACCCATTGGAAACGGTCCTCTCAAAGCCCTAGAACCATCAATAGCCCTATAAACCCCAAATAGCAAATTCACAACCAATCAACGATACTAAAAGGTAATTCAACACGCTGAAATGCTTAAAAAGCAACCGCTAGGTTACGAATCGGTAATAAATCACAAACCCTTAATCAAGAAGCCATTTGAAACCAAAGGAAAGCCGAAAACCTTCGAAACGGATTGAAATTTTTTCTGAGTTATTTCTCAACGGGGCCCCTTTGGTTACATTCAACTCCTCTTCTTCTTCTTCTATGGTTCTGTTGGTAAAACACCACACGCTCGCTCCGAACCTCCGAACAAAGTGTCCGTATGCGGGGAGAGAGAGACAGAGAAGAGACACCAACGCAACTGAAGAGCAGAAGAGGAATTTCAATAAATCCGTAGGGGTAGAATTGTCATTTTACACATACGGTGGAAACGTCAAACGTACCTCCGGTGTTTGTTTGCTTGCCTTTGTAAGCTCACTAGTCACTAGTTGTATTAGTCTTCTGCGTACACGACCAAAATAAATCAATTTTAATTATTTAGCTAATATTCTATTTTTTATATCATTATATATATATATATCGATCCATTCTTTTGACATTATAAATTAAAATTTTAGTTAGTTGTCTATTTTTTAATTATATTTTTAAAATCAAATTGTATGACCGATTTAATGAAAGGTACAAAGTCAGCCGTTATGAAAAAACAATAATTTGCTATCCAATTTCGATGAGAATAATACGAGTTTGAGAGCGGCCAAACTGATATTTTCATCGATATTTTCACTTTCTTGTTACAAAGAAAATACATCTATCATTTACTTTTTGAGTATTTATCTTTTAATATTAATTATTATATTAAAATTTAATATAAGTTAAAAAAAATACAAAAATATTTCAAATTATACAAATATAAAGATATTTTAAAGATTAAATACAATAACACAATAAATAATGTGACCATCCATGAGTATTGAAGATATAAAGAACAATGACAATTTATAAATTACTAAAAAAAAATAATAAGGAGAGAAAGTGATAATGATAGTAATATTTGACGTAAATAAATATTGAATTGAAAATAATAATTAAATATATACTAACTTATCAAAATTAGTAATAATGTAAATTTAAACGACGTATTAAAAAAGTGAAAACAAATTTAACGAAGACAGAAAATATATGTTTTCTATTTTTTATATTATGCTAAAAATTCATTCATTCATCCTTGCCTGCATATTCTAGATGCCTCTTCTTCTGCCCAAACTCGACCACCAAACTCAGCAGCGCCTCGCACACCTGCGCGGCGTTGGGCTCCGCCGGGTCGTCGTTTATCGACGAATACACCATCCACGCGTGATCCAGCTTCCGCCGCTTCGGCCGCACCACCACCGACCCCGGGACCTCCGCGTCCCGGCATGTCACGAGCCCGTCGCTCTTCTCGCCGTACCTCATCTGGAGCAGCTGGGCGCATGCGGCCATCGCCGCCCCCAGCGGGATCACCACCGGCACCGTCGCCCCTTGCCCCAACGAAAAAGCCGGCATCTCCGCATGAGCCACCCGCGACAACGTGGCCAGCACCGCCGGGGAGATGCCCGCCTCCGTGTGGAACGAGACCACCGGGAGCTCCCGTGGTAGCCGGTACTTCCGCAGCAGCTCTTTCCTTCTTTCGTACGTCAGATCTTCCAGGGCCTGCAAATCGCCCTTCGCCATCGTACCCGATAAAAATGTCACATTTTAGCATAAGGAATTAATTCAATTCAATGTGCCGATCGATATGCAGTACTATTTTCATCTACCTCTAAGAATTACATTTATCTTTTGCGTTATTGTACTTAACATTAGTATGACAAAATTGTACATAACTCCCTTGTGATTTTCAAACTTTAACATAAATCCCTCACTTACTTTAAAAATTACATGGCACCCCTTTATACTTTAAAAAAATTGCATAACGCCCCGTTATACTTTAAAAAATATTGCAGGTAGACTCTCTGTCGTTTCGAAATTCAGCATAAATCTCCACTTTACTTTAAAAATTGCACGATGCTTTTTTATACTTCAAAAAATATTGCACGTAACCTATATGTGGTTTCGAAACTCAACGTAAATCTCTACTTTACTTTAAAAATTGCATGACATCTCCTTCCTTATACTTTAAAAAATATTGCATGAAACTCCCGCCATACAAAAAATATAGATAAAAAATCTTCTCATCATACAAAAGAGGTTTCATGATGGTGGAGTTTCATGCAATATTTTTTAAAGTATAAGGGAGTGTCATACAATGTTTAAAATATTTTACGCTGAATTTAACCATAGGGAAGTTATGAGCAATTTTACCGATTAGTATTATAAGACGATAGAAGTATTTTTATTTTTTTCTACTTAATTTATACACGTTTTGATATAATGATTAGTATTCGAGGATCAGCACGCAAAAAGTAAATGTGGCTGTTAGAGGCTTAGAACCATACGAAGAAAGTATATTATAACATAGATAGATAGATACCTTGATCACTTTACAGATCAGAATCTCCATAAGTTTCCGGATGTTAACATAGTCGCCGAGCTGACCTTCGCGCAATATATCGGAAGCGATCGGGCTGCCGCCATACGGGCTCTGCGCCAATGCCAACCCGGCAACCTTATCTTTCAGGTCATCCCAGTACATGGACAAAGCAGCTGCAGAATCGATACCCCCTTTACTATGGCCGAGAAGCAAGACTCGTTTTTTCGAACCCCAATATATTTCCTCAATGTACTCCTTTATCTCTCTCGCATTCTTTTCCACCGAAGCCTAAAATCTAACTTTGTTACACAATGGAAAATCTACATCTTAAACAGAAAAAGTTTGATCCAATGTACCTCGCTGTGAATTTTGGCTATATGACATGTGAGACCCATCTTCGAGAAACTTGTTTTCGTATCCACAAAATAAAGAGGTCCGTGATTGCTGAAAAGACCTACGGATGACAGTACACATGTAAGCAGCTAAAGATTGAGAAAATCGATAAAGCTAAGACGGTACCTGGCACTAACAAGTAGACCATCGTATTAGGCAACCTGTGAAGACCGTGTCTGGTAGAGAAAGGGGATGGGAATATAATTACCGAATACAAACTAAGGTTAATGATGTCGAGTAGTGTCGTTAAATATTAGAATCTATACCTTATGTCATCAAGTATTTCTTCGTATCTCTCGGTTCCATCTTCGACTGGCGGCATGTTGGGATCTCGTTGTAGCCATCCAATGTCATCAGCAGAGCCGCGAACTGTCTTCCTCACCCTTTCTATGAGGCTAATGCAGAGAATCACGATAGACATAAGCAATCAAGCACGACCAACATTGAATATGAAAAATGAATGCATGAAGATAAAATATATTATTAACATCCTCAACTAAGCGTAGCTACGAATTTTATATTTTATGGTACACTCAGACAATACGTACCCTTGAAAAATTGAAATGCCATTTTGGTTGGTGTCGTTAGATTGCACAAGCGCGTTAGACGTTTGGGAAGACTCTCCTGCAGAGCTCCTGGTTATTCCTCCTTGTAGTACTGGCGCTTCAACTTGGATATCGGTTGATTCCGAGAAGGATGAATCGCTTGCACTTGAAGACACATTCATGTTATATGGAATCTGTCGAGGCTCTTCTGAAACAAATGCCACCATTTCCTGTCCATCACCATCTTCAATAAGAGGTCGTACTGAAATTAGTATAAAACCAACCGCATCAGAGGTGTAGGCAAAATGTGTAAAAGCTGTAGTCGTAAGAAATGATGGAGCTTGGAAGATATATATTTTCAAATATTTTGGTTATCAAAAAATAAAGAGACGTAAACTGCAAACTAATTACAACAATATAGAATAGTTAAACAACGAAGATCTGGAACTTAATTGACGACAAATGGTTTAGACAGGTTAGATTACTCATCTCCAATGAACATAAAGAATTGCATTTCTGTATTCCTATCTTCACTCTTCCCTCAACTTTATACCTACGGAATCCAATCCAACCTTTTCCCTCAAAAGTATCTACCTACGAGGCGATGAACATTCATTCCACCTGCTCCTAGTGAGAGACCATTTCTAGGGTAAGAGTTGATGTTTTTCAAAACAGATCAAGACCAAAATTTCCAAACACAACAGTCGAGTCAGTGACTAAAAACTGTTATCAAGTTTAAAATCTTAATATGGAGGGCTAAAATCGCAGATAGATAACAAGAGCCAGCCCTGAAACAGGGGCATGAAGGCTTCTCAACCTCATCAAATTGCATATTTGGGATTTGAGGAACATCAAAGTGGCTCAAGATTAAACAAATCGAATTAGAATTCGCAATAGTTTAATTCAAGAAAACAAACTAAGCTACATTCGACTGCGGTAAGATTCAGCCCAACAGGTCGGCTATTAAATTGCAAAAACTGCAGGTCAAAATTGAAAATCCTCAACCACAGCAACTACTTGTACGATCATCCCCACCTATCAACAATGAATTCAACCGTACAGTTCGAATTTAGCTAGAGCAACATTTCTACCCAATTTAATAATAGTTCAACATCTTAAGTCACATAAAGAAACGCAATCACAACTCCAAAAATCGAAACACATTCCAGCTCGAGATAAACATGAACATACTCGAAATGTCGGTGAAGCATCGAGTGAAGATCGACGTCGTTTCAGCCAGAATAGAAGCTGCGTCGTTCAGAGCAGGCACTGACGTAAACAACTGAGGAATTCCAGTACGCTCGTCCCTCGTCCCAGCCCTATCAGGCTTTTACAACGACATTCGAAACCCAAATCAGTACCAATTCCCCAAAAAACCCTCCCAAAAATAGAAAAATAACAGCGACGTTACCGCAGGCGGCGCGCTGGAATCTCCTCCGTCGGGACCTCCAGCATCCATCCCCCTCTAGGGTTCAGGCGAGAATTAATTAACAAAGGGGAAAAACAATCGCGATGCAAAACCCAAACTTCACAACATCGAATCACGTAAAAATCAAAAATCAAAACCCACAGCGAATTCGATTGTATCGCGCGTAATGCGAATATCACCACCAAAATCTTAACTGCCAAGAAATGTCGAACGATCGGCAGTTACGTTGCACTAAGAAAGATCAACAAAGAACAGTTTCCGGAAAGTCCAGAACCCTCGAGGCTCCCAAACGACGTCGTATGACTAAATATACCAATTAATTTAATTAACAAAAAAAGAAAAACGCACAAATAATAATACTCCCTCCGTCACTAGAAATAGTCTATTTGGATTTGATACAAAATTTATTAAAATAGTGAGAGACGATAAGGAGTATTTTAAAAATTTTAATTAAAAATAAAAATAAATGAGAAGAGAATGTAATAAAATAAGTGGTATTTGTGGTAATGGAACAATTAAGGTGCTGAATTGAAAAAATCAGCATTGTGATTATTTTTCAAATCAATACCGTAATATATAGAAACAACACAAAGTCTTACTATATTAAGCACATATTGTGTATAATAATGACACGTGATGTTGTTTCATAATATAATGTCCTGTATAACAGTACGTGATGCGTTGAAATCAATTAGTATTTGTGATTATAGCATGTGTTGTCAGTTCATATGTCGTATTTGTGTTGTTGGTTCATAATACAAGTGTGACGTATAACAGTACGTAGTGTGCTGAAATCAAGTATTGATTGTGTTGTATAAAACTATAACATGTATTGTTAGTTCATGTGTTGTATTTGTATCATATGAATGCATATTGCGTGCTGCCGGTAGCAATACCGTGTGCTGTTTGACAGTACACCATGTGATGCGGTGTGTTATCAGCACAATACTGAATTCAGCATCGTAGCTGCCGCCTTGTTGTAAATAAATGTTGAATGAAGTATAATAACTAAATGTTTTGATTTGATAATTTTGCGAAAATTAATAAGATGATAAATTTAACCGAATGAATTAAAAATAAAGTAAAAATAAATTTGACGGACAGATTAAGTAATAAAATTAAGTAATAATTAATTATATAAACTAATTTCTTAATCGACACCATTTTCTTAGACATCATCATTTATCAACGTGCCAGTTAAACAAACCCTAACATATATATTTGTGTCTATATTTATATATATTATATATATATATATGTAATTTCTCCATCATCGATGTCATATCATATTACTTATTTATTTATTTAATTAATTCACAGGCTTCGCAGCAGAATGCCCTCAAATGTGAGACCGGGTCCAAAGGCCAAGCCGAGCCCCCACTCCTCGGCTTCCTCGAGCCGCTTACTCCCCAGCTCCTCCCTCATATACTCCATCACATAAAAGATCGTATTGCTGCTCACATTCCCAAAATCCATCAGCGCGCGCCGGCTACACTCCAGCTTCCCGCTCTCCAACCCCAGCTTCGTCTCGAGCCGGTTCAGTATCGCCGGTCCGCCCGGGTGGACCGCCCAAAACATATCATTGTACTGAACCGGATCTCCAGCTTTCGCCATCAGCTTCCTGCAGAACCCATCGATGTTATCCTCAATCTTCTGCGGCAGGTCGCGGCCGAGCTTAAAGTAAATCCCCTCCTCCGACAGGCGGCCGTCGATGACGCCGCCGGTGCCGGGGAGGAACTGCTGGACGGCGTAATTAAGCTCCATGAACGGCGGCGACTCGCTGCCGGGGATAGGGTCGCTGCCGACGATGACGGCGGCGGCGCCGTCGCCGAAGAGGGCGGCGCCGACGAGGTCGTAGGGGCGGGACTTGTTCGGCGGCCGGAATCCGAGGATGGTGGTCTCGGAGGTCGTGAGGAGGACGCGGCTGCCGGGGTTGTTCTCGGCGATGTCCTTGGCGACGCGGAGGCCGGTGACGCCGCCGTAGCAGCCGAGGAAGTAGAGCATGACGCGGCCGACGTCGCAGCGGAGGCCGAGCTCCGCCGCGAGGTGGAGGTCGCCGCCGGGGAGGCGGATCTCGCTGGAGGAGACGTAGACGAGGTGGGTGATGTCGGCGGCGGGGCGGCCCCATTGTTTGATGCATTCGAGGCTGGCTTGCTTCGCCATCGCCACCACCGCCGGGTTCGCTATTTCCAGACGTTGCTTTAGCGTCGGGAGGCCCTCCGTCGCCAGCTCCGGGTATTGGTCCAGGATCTCCTTCGACATTACCGTGTACCGGGTTTTCACCGTCGTCGTCTTGCCTGCAAAATATCGTAGGCAAGACGACATCATTTGTTTATTAATTTATTACAGAGTCGACCAACATGTCCCTTCGGTACGACCTTGGAATTTGAATGTTAAAATAATAATATTGTCCAAATTTTAAACTTAAAAGAATTGATGTCAATTTTAATATTCTTTTTATCGGTCTCTAAAGTCTGATTTATGTTTTGTATCATTGTACTAAATATTAAAAATATTTTTATATTTATACAATTTTTGTATAAATTTCTTTCTATTAGTATTATAAGATACTAATAAAAATATTTTTTCAATTTATACTACATTTTAATATAATAATTACTATTCAAATATCAAAATGTAAAAAGTAAATGATATCTTTAGAGCGGAACTGAGAAAATTTTCATCCACCTAATATTAATAGTATTACTTTACTATATCAAATAACTTAAGTAAACAAATTATAGATATACACTAGAATATTGTTGCATTGTTTTCTTAATTCTAACCATATAAAGATTAAAGAAATTTACATATTTACTTTTAAATGATCTTAATATCAAGGAATTGGTTGGATTTATTTTGGAGTTTGATAATAGATTTTAAATTAATTGACTTGAATGATTTCATATTTGAAGTACTTCATAATTAAAATTTTATTATTTGGTTGCAGAAGCATTTAAAATAACACGGTATAAAATTTATTTCAAACGTTAAAGAAGATAATATTAAAAATACTTGATTACCTTTGGATATTTGAACCATTCATTTATTACACACAGTTCGTCCGTGACTTGTTTTGCTTGTCTGATTTACAGTGTATCAGATTCGATTCATAATTTATCCAAAATGCACTAAAAAGTAGCAGTTGCGGATTCGTACGTTATAAAAAAAAAAAAAAAAGTTCGATGAAATCATTTAAAATATGTTTAACTCAATGTCTTTCAATTAAACCGAACTTCACTGAATCAAAAACCAAAATTCCGGCACATGCGCTTACAGAGTCGTTGGAGTTTCTCCTTGATATCAGAGTCTTGGCAATTAGTGTCCTTGAGGAAGCCCTCGACGAGCAAGTCCTGTGGGACGAGTTGGCTCGGGAGGGCCTTGGCAATGGCGAGGACGGTGGCTTTTCCGGGAGTTGGGAGGCGGTGGCGGCGCGGCGGCGACACATGTCGGCCATTGTTGTTGTTATTATTGTTGGATGACATTGTGGATGCAATGAGGGATGAGAAATGGATTTAGTTTTGTAGGAAAGGATGGAATGAAGTGAGGAGGATATAAAAGGAAAGCTAGTATGGATTTGGAGAAGGGTTGGTGACAAGAGACAATAGCATGACCTAATTAATTAACAATCAATACAACCTTAACTTACCTTTAATTAATTAATTCATTTCTTGCATCCTATTTATACACATTATTAATTTTATCAAAATATATGTATATATATATAGAGAGAGAGAGGAGAGAGAGATGCATATGGGGTTGGATGCGTGAAGGTTTTAATTAGATTTCGGCAATCTTTGAGTGTCTTTTTAACTTTGTTATATTATTAACAAAAACTAAAGATTATCTTTACGTTGCGAGATTTTATTTATAATTTTACTATTATACTCCCGCCCTCCGTCCCATGTAATATGGGTGTATTACTGTAGACACAGGAATTTAGATAAAGTATAATTAGTAAATAATTAAGAAGTGTATTAATAAAAATAATTATAGATTAAGATTAAAATAAGTAAATAGTTTAATTAAAATTAAGAAAATTATAAAATTTAAAATTTAAAATACGATTAAAGTGTATAGTTATATTTCCAAAAATAGAAAGGACAAGTTATGTGGGACGGACGAAAATAGAAAATAGGAACAAATTATGTGGGACGGAGGGAGTAATTTTTTTTAGGAAAAAATACTCCCTCCGTCCCAACAAGGTGCAATATTTGTTTTTGGCACGAGTTTTTAGGTGGATAGTATTAAGTAGGATAATTTAGAAATTAGGTGATGTGATGGAGAGATAAATATATATATTTTATTTTTTTATTTGGATGATGTGAGTGGATAAAGTGTGGGGTAGAGATTAAGTATAATTAATTATTTTCTATTTTGGAAATGTTGCAGGGTGTTTGAGACATACCAAAAATAAAATGTTGTTTGGGACGGAGGGAGTATTAAATTAAATATTCAAATTTTATTTATTATTTTTTTACACTAAATTTTAATTTTACATTTAAAATATCGTATAAGTATATATTTATATCACATCAAACAACTCTTTTAATTCAAAATTTTACTATTCAAAACCAAAACAAAAATCATAATCTTACAAGTAAACATACCAAACATTTCTTTTAAAAAAAGTCTGAACTTGATTTAGTTTTTTTTTTTCAATTTATTTTTTATTTGAAATTATCATTATCAAATAAATATTTATATCACATTAAATACTATTTCCTCTATCTCCTAAATTTATTTATTTTTTTCGTCCGTCTCAATTTATTTAATTACTTCCTCCGTCCCAAACAAGCTACAATATTTGATTTGGGCACGAGAGATTTTAGATGGATAGTATTAACTATGATAATTTAAAAATCAAATGTGGGGTATAGATCAAATATAATTAATTATTTCTATTTTGAAAATACTGCAGGATGTTGGGATATACCAAAAAGAAAATGTTGCACTGTTTGATAGGGAGGAAGTACTATATTTCAAAAATAAAATAAATTAATATTTAATACCCAATATTTATTTACAATAAATGCTATTAACTTTACTATAATTTATTTATTCATTCTCTCTAATTACGAACTAAACTTTTTAAAATACCTTCTATTTCTTTTTATTTTTTCAATAAAATATTTATTTTTTTTAATTTCAATCAAGCCGGTTTAAATATGACAGACAAATAGAGTAAATAATAGTACTATTTTAATTCAAATTTTTATTATTTTCAAGCTCTAAACCCCATATTATATGATTTATTGGATATATTTTATAAATTTATCGTTTAATCATTATGTGCGGTAGTGCTAGGCGAAGACATCACCTGGGGTTAGGACATTCCATCCAGATGTATCGTAACACTTTGGTGATAGTGGACGATAGTAGTCGGATAACTGAATGACTTAGTTGCACGGTTATTTAGGGATTAGATCCATTATAGTTGAGACATATTCGGTATAATAATTCGTGTTAGGTGTTGTTCCACTCGTTAAACTAATCACTGGTGAAGTCTACTGGTAGTTTGGGATTATGTGTCAAACTCCAAACGTAATCCCGTTAGAACACGCCAGAAGGAGTAGAGTTTTCGAGTTTCTCTTGGTTGATTCCAAGTTACACCGATTCTGCCACACACCTACATTATAGGATAGGACTAGACATGAGGGTCCTGTATTCGCTATCACATACTATGAAATGTCTTGTAGTTAATGGCGATAACGTCGGCCATCCATTTATTGATTATAGGGGTCGTATAATGGTTACATGAAAATGATTGAATAACCGTTATATTCTTATGGGTTTATCATATCCTTCCTTTTACTCGGGGGTTTTCTGATTATTTATTGATAATGGTCTAGTGAGTATATTATCATTATGGACCCGAAATTATTTTGACTGTTCACTTAGACGGATATATATATATGTGTGGATGGTTGGTTGAGTTCGATAGCACTGTTAGAAACTAAAGAATATTTTTATAAACACAATGCTCGTGTTTTTTTGTGGGTTTTACCACATTTTTTTTTTCTATTCAAATTTTTTTCTTTTATCTCAAAATATCACATCAAACGATTTTTTTTTTCTTATACTATATTATAAATTTATTTTATATTTAAAAAATCACATCAATATCTATTTATATCATATCAAACAACTATTCAAATTTAATTTTTTACTATTCAAAAATCTAAATCCAAAATCCTAAACCCACGAACAAACACAGCCAATAAATTTTTGCCCTTATTTTTATATATTAAAAACTACTCCCTCCGTCTCATGTACCATGTCTGCTACATTGTAGACACGATATTTTAGAATGAGTGTAATTAGTAGATAATTAAGAATGTATTAGTGAAAATAATTATTCTATAACATAAATAATTATAAATTAAGATTAAAATAACTAATTAGTTAATTAAAATTAAAAAATAAAAATAAATTAAAAAAGTTAAAATGAAATTAAAGTGTGTAATCATTTTCAAAAAAGAAAAGTGACATAGAATATGGGACGGACAAAAACGACAACGTAGACATGGTACGTGGGACGGAGAGAGTAATATACAAGGATATTAAATTTTTATTTAATAATGCAAAAATATAAAGATTTTTTATTCAATTTTTTATATTTAACATAAAAAAGAAAAAAAAAATCAAATTAAAAATACAATATATCATTTAAGTTTAGTCATTAAGACGGACCTAAATAAAGCCCAAGAAATTCCTGTGCTATTAAATTTTGGATTTAATTCTTAGGCCCAAATTACGTGCCAATGGAATAATTTTTTATTTTTATTTATCGGAGTGGCAAGGGAATAATTGAATATTTTAGGCTTTATTATTATAGATATAAAAATTTAGATAAATTATAATTAATAGGTAATTATAATGTGTATTACTAAAAATAATTATTATTTAGTAAAAATAATTATAAATTAAGATTAAGATAAACAAATAGTTTAATTAAAAATAAAAAAATTATAAAATTTAAAATTTAAAATATGATTAAAGTGCATAATTATATTTTAAAAAATAGAAATGACAAGTTATATGGGACGGACGGAAATAGGAAACAGGGACAAATTATGTGGGACGGAGGGAGTAATTTGTACTATGTGTTTACTTGTGAGGTTTTGATTTTGAATAGTAAAATTTTGAATCTAAATAGTTGTTTGATGCGATATAAATATGTATTCATGTGATGTTTTGAATGTAAAATTAGATTTTAATTTAACAAAATAAATAAAATTAAGTGTTTGATTTGATATTTTTGGAGCAAAATAAAAATTGAAATAATAAAATCAGATAAAGTCTTACAAGTAAACAACTCTATTGTAAATACCGTTGCGAATGCTTGGATTTGGATTTGGGCTTGGGTTGTAGTTGAAGGATTTAGGCCGAGTTTGGTGGGCTGGGCCAACGAGTGAGTCAACTCATTATTTATTTATTTATATTTTAATTAATAATTTTGTATATATTTTATTGAAAGTTTTTGAACAAAACATGATCTCGTTTGTTAGCAAAATAAAAATATTTATGTTGTTCAACTCGATTTGTTTATATTCGCAAACAAAATTAAATTAAATCGAATGAAGTCAAACTCATGAATGGTTTAATTCATCTAATAGTTCTAGGTACAATAATATTTTATATTAATATTTTTATATTTTATTATCTTTTATAATCCAATTAAAAATAAGATATATATTTAATTGAATCTTTAAATTAAAAATTAAGTATTTTACTCATATTTAATTTTAGATCCAAGTTCTAAGAAAACCTTATAAAGTAAAAATACTAGATTTTCAAACAAAAGAATGAGTGGTTAATTTTTTATTTTTTCTTTGAGGAATATATTTTTTTATGCTTGGTACAATAATATAAAAAATAATATTTTATTGAATTATTAATTTTTTATAATATATATTATATATGTTGTATTAACGTGTTTATATCATATTTTTCTAATAATATTATAAAAAATAGTTCAAAATTTTTTCCAAAATGACATTATTTGCATATTATTGTATTCGATTAGGGAGTTGGTGATTTTAATTTATTTATTTATTTATTTTGATTTTTTAGATTTTAGTTGAAATAATGATTTAAATGTGATTTTATTTTTTTTGTATGTAAGTAAAAGTAATACCCTCTCCGTTCGTCTCTAATAATTACCTTTAACTTTTGTGTCATTGTACTTAACATTAAAAATATTTTTATATTTGTATAATATTTTTTACAAATGTCATTATATTAGTATTATAAGACACTGATGAAAGTATTTTTGCAAGTTTATCTTAATTTGTACTATATTTTTGATATAATAATTAATATTCAAATATCAACACATAAAAAGTAAATAAGACCCTTAGAGGCGGACGAATATAGTATAAATTTATAGAAAATTACAAAAAATAAATAGTAAAAATAAGAATATAAAGTTAATGTGATGTTTTTATATTATAGTAAAAATGGAACGTGACATTATCTTATAGTATTAGATA